TTGATTACATTTGTGGATGACCTCTGGTGGACCCAGGATGTGGATGTTGTATCCATTCTGGCCCTACTTGATCTCTCAGCAGCTTTTGATACTATCAGTTATAGTATCCTTCTAAGATGGTTGAGGGGGTTAGGAATGGGAGACACTGTTCTTCAGTGATTCTCCTCCTTTCTCCAAGGATGGTTGCAGTTGGTGTTGGTTGTGGGATTTTAGTGGGGTGCCACAAGGCTTAACTCTCCCCACTTTTATTTAACATCTACATGAAACTGCTGGGTGAGGTCATCCACCAGCACAAGGTTAAGTCCCAACAGCATGCTGATGCTACTCAGCTGTACATCTCTGCCCTAGGCTGCCCAAGTGATGTAATAGAGGTACTTTCCCAGTGCCTGAAGGCTGTTCGGGCCTATACAGGGAAGAATTGGCTTCACCTCTACTATGACAAGACCAAGTGGCTGTGGATTTTGGGGTTCCCCCATATGCAGTGATTTGCCATCTTTAACTCTGGCTGGGGTGACACTGTCCCAGTCAGAGCTGGTGTGCAATATAGGGGTTGTCCTGAACTCACAGATCCTACTTGAAGAGAGGAGGCAGCTGTGGCCAGGAGGGCCTTTGCACAAATACATCTTATGTGCCAGTTGCACCCTTGCCTAGACTTGGGTGACACTGCTCGTGAACACTCATGTCAAAGTCACCTCCCAACTGAATTATTGCAATGTCCTCTACATGGGGCTGCCCATTTAGAAGCTTCAGCTGGTTCAAAATGCAGCAGCATGGGCAGTAGTGGGCGCACCTCGGTATGACCATATAACACCACCGCTGCATGTACTGCACTGGCACCCAGGAGGCTTCTGGGTGCAATTCAAGATGCTGGTCATCAACTTTAAAGCCCTACGTAGCATGGGCAAGGTTACTTGCAGGACCGCCTATCCCCTATGGTTTCTGCCTGTCCTACTTGATCTGGCAAGGTGGACATGTTCTGGGTTCCCTCGGTGAAACAATGTTCTCTAAAGGGGTCTCAGAAGCGTGCCTCCTCTGTCATGGCGCCTGCCTTATGGAACACCCTCCCCTGGAGATACAGATGGCTCTGAACCTGTTGACCTTCAGGAAAGCAGTGAAGATCTGGGTTTTCCTCCAGGCACTGGGGCCAGGATGTTGATGGCACTGGCATGGGGTGGTTGTGGATGAATGCAAGTTTTATCAGGGCCTCAATATTATTTATTGTTTTAAATAGTCCTTTTTAGTATATTGTGTTTTTATTCTACTTGCCACCCAGAGTTCCTTTTGGTAGATTGGCAACTATATAAGTTTGCTTAATAAATAAATAAATAATCAGCCCCATGAAATGAATTCCAAGGAGGTTTCAGGAGAAACCGAAGGAGGAAAATGGGCTTTGCCAGAAAAAAACATGGTGTGACTGCCTTCTGTCCCTTTTTGTTAAGCAGAGTTATAGAACAAACCTTTTTATGTTACAACACTGGGCTAAATGAAGCTTGTTGTGGCATTAAGCTAGTAACCTAGTAATTACAGCAGATCAAACTGCTGATAAAGGGACATCAACAATCTGGTTTTCTGCAACTCATCCTCAGCCTTGTTTTCCAGTGTGGGATGCCCCCACAGGTGTTTGCTTGCCTAAAAGGTGGCTGAGGATGAACCAGCAAGAAGCCACACAGCTGGGGCTGGCAGGTGAGGATCTTGACTAGTAAGCTGGCTGGCAGGGTGGCTGCAAGCAAGAGCAATTCATCCTAAAAACAGGCATCTTTCCGTCACCCATACGGGAAGAGGTGGAACATGGTACTGCAGGATACAATTGTTCGCACAACCCAAAGCCTTCTCCCAGCGTGCAGCTGCACTGCAGCTGCCCTTCAGCTTATATGAGCAATATGAGTCTTGTTTGAGGACTCCTTACAGGGGAAAAGAGCTTTGCTGGATTTCACACACAGACACATAGCAACTGGTTTCAATGGTAACATTCTATTCAGTTCAGGTGGCATAATATCTCCATCAACTACAGCAATGGTCACAGAGACCAACCAATGAGACAGCATGGGGAGACATCTCTCTCTCTCTCTGTCTGTCTATCTTCTCAAGCACCCACATACACACAAGAGTTTTAGAAGATTCCTGAAAAGCAGCCAAATCTTAAACCAAATTATTGGCTTTAACCACTGAAGGTCAATCATTATCTAGACTAGAAGGTGATCTTCATGTTTACTGAATTTTGGGGGAAAGCAAGAACTCAAGGTCCTTGAAGGGAAATGCAGGCAGGCAGTGGGACCTGCTGGCTCCTCCTGAAAATGCCTTTTTCCAGACAATTGTCCAGCTCCCCTGAGATAGGCATACTATTCGTTTTAGAACTGGTTGAAGAAAATAGCCCATGGCTGTATGTGTGTGTGTGGGGGGGGGGGGGGG